TTATTGCCGAGTTTAAAATGAGGAAACTGAGGCCTGCATGAGAACAATTAGATGCCAATTTATTCGGCTCCCAGGCGAGGCTCTGCAGTCCCGAGGAAAGGGGCCAGAGAAGTCACTCCTGACTCCTCTCAGGCATGGGGTTTTATAGGGAGGGAAGGCGTTCCGATTGGCTGTGGAGAAACAGGATGTGGACGTGGCAAGCTGCTTTACATAGGTAAGCGGGATTTCCGGACAGGGCAATGTGCTATTGGGCAGGTTTTGGCAGGGCTTCTTTTAAATTTTGGCGGGGTTTCCAAGGGTGGGCTAGGTGCCAGTGCAGAAGGGATTTCCAAGGGCGGGGTTGAGTGCCCTGAAGAGGGGATTTCCAAGGGCGGGGTTGAGTGCCGAGGTGGGCGTGGCAGAGCTAGATGCTGAGTGCAGATTTGGTGACTTAATTTTCAGGCGTGCTGAGGGATGGGCGTGTCGAGCTCCGGCAAGGCAACCAGCTTTACAGTGGGGAAAGGAGGATCTCTTTCCAGGAGTTTGAGACCAATTTGGGCAACACAGAAGATCCCATCTTATTTCAAATTTTAAAAATTTAAAAATTTTGTTTTTAAAGTGGAAGATATTCTCTCAAAAGTCCAGAAAATTATGTGGGAAAACCACTCTGCCAAAAATTAAATTTACTAAGCAGAAAAAACTAGGAAAGAGTCAATGATGCTCTTTCCTGTGAATATAAGTGCTTCCCACAAATGTTAATGAAACAATTAGAAGGGGCAGTACAGTCCTTTGGACAGTGTGATACAGCAAAAGTAAGAATAGATGACATAGCAAGAATTTACTTGTGTTATGCTTTGTCACCCAAGACAGCAATTACAATAGTGCATCTACTTGCTGCTCATGAAGATCTACCCAAGATCACTAGGACAAACAGTGGAGCCAGCTGGAACAAGACAGCATGTGCCATCAATAAGGGGCTAATGGGAAGATGCCTGCCTGACAGGGGAGGCTGGCCGAATGAAATTGAACCACCACCTTCTGAAATGCCCCCTTGGCAAAAGAGACAAGAAGGCAGTGGCGAAAGGGGTGGTTACGGTAGTGGTGGAGATGGAGGTGGTAGAAGAGGCTGTGGGGGTGGAGGTAGAAGAGGTGGCTGTGGGTGGAGGAGGATGGGGAAAGAGAGAGATGGGAAAGAGGGTGGAGGAGGTGGGAAAGAGAGAGGAGGTAGTGAGGAGGAGGTGGGGTGGAGTTGGTAGAGGAGGTTTCCAAGGCAGAGGAGATGATGGTGGGAGAGGAGATTATGATGGAAGAGATTATGGAGATCCATATGGAGGAGGTGGTGATGGTGGTGGATACAGGAGATACTGAAGACTACAAAAATTAAAAACCAAAACCAACAAGCTTCAAGGGCAAAGGAGTAGTCTGCCCTCTTGTATCACAAGCACTCACTAACCACTGTTGTATCTGAGCGAGTTAGAAGGAAAATGTCACATCTGTGTTCCAACTGTGAGTCCTTTATTGCTAGCCACCAAGAGTCAGCTCACACTCAAAATCTCTCAGTCCCGATGAAGGGTGAAATTTCCTTTTATATGTTGCTCAGGGTAACGGGGGGCAAAGTGGAATTTTACAGAAGCAGAATGAGCAAGTTAGGGGAGGAGGCTCCCGTGATTGTTGATTAACTAAGGAGGGTATACACAAGCGGTTCCCATGATTGCTGGTTACCAAGTGGGGGCAGTTGGTACTTTCCATATAATCAACCAAGAGGATATTCAAAATAGCAAGTGGGCTTGTCAAGCAATGGTTATATCTTTCATAGTTCTAAGCACAACATGACCCAGCACCGTGTAACTCAGGTATGCACGCAAGGGAGGAATGGCAGGGGGAGAAGCCAAGATGGAGCCAGTCAGGCTCACCTCTAAGATGGAGTTGGTTTGGTTCACCTCAGCACCTCTGCCCTTTCTCATCCATTAATCATTCAGACAAGATTTCCTTGCTTACCTCCTCCTATAAAAACATGAAGTCTCTTTCCTTCTTCTTTGAGGAGATTCCTCTGCATTAATGGATGGTGTCTTTACTGCAATAGCATGAAAAGTCTCCTTATGCAGTTTAGCACTTTTCAATGCTTGACATCAGTGACTCCATCTTGGGCTATTGACTTCTTGCTCAACTGCTGCTAAACTTTGAGACCCACAAAGAAATTGTGAAAATTATTTCCTTCAAAACAACTGTTTTCTCAACAACACACAGCCCAAGAAAACTGGTCCCAGTATTTTTTTCCAAGACAGGGTATTACTCTGTCACCTAGGCTGAAGTTCAGGGGCTCAATCTTGGCTCACTGCAACCTCCGCCTCCCAAGCTCAAGTGATCCTCCCACCTCAGCCTCCCAAGTAGCTGGGACTACAGGTGCATGGCACCACTCCTGGCTAATTTTTTTTGTTTTTTGTATAATATTTTTTTGTGGGTGCTGGCACATCTGCCCAGGGGCTCTTGGCCAGCAAGAGGGTCCCAACTTGGAAAGGGGGGGGTGCGTGGAAGAGAAGAAGAAAGAACAGACGGGGTCTGGAGGGTTGAGAAGTCAGATGCTTCACCAACAACTTTATTGAACTCAGGGTCTGGTTATATACATTACAAGTAGAAGTGTTTACGTCATGGGATCAGTGTTTCATGGGAACAGAAAGTTTGACAATACAATCACAAGTCACCATATTTTGGATAAATATGCTGGGAACAGGGAGATACATAATCAGGTTAAAGCGGGGGGTGCAATTATCAGTCACAAGAGTCCAGGTGCAATATCTAAGTTTAGAAGTTTAAAAGAAATTATTTATCTAGGGCAAGAGTTTCACAAGAAAATCACAGGCTACGTTATAAATCATTAAGTCACAAGCAGTATTGTAAATACCACATCAAGGGTCCAGGTGCAGGAAAGACATAAACAAAGCAATTTTTACTATCAGCTTGCTTTGAAGATTTAAGTCATAACTTTAAGAAGAAACTATAATGAATAGAGAACCAAAAGTGGACACCGTGCCTCCCATCACCTCAGCACAATAGAGTAATAACTCATGCTATTTTTTGTATGTCACATAAGCTTTCTTGCAGTCCTTCTTCCCCATAGCTTGACTACCTCCAACAGGGGGCCCGTGTCCGGGATCAAGCTCAACCATATTGTGTGACCCACTACTTGGGGGTCTCACATGGGAGCGTTCCCACATTTTTTGTAGAGATGGGGTTCACCATCTTGGCCAGTCTGGTCTTGAACTGCTGGCCTCAAGTGATCCGCCCTCCTCAGCCTCCCAAAGTACTGGGATTACAGGCATAAGCCACCATGCCTGACTCCCAATCTTTTTTGTGTGTGAGACAGAGTCTCTCTGTGGCCCATGCTGGAGTACAGTGGCACAATCTCGGCTCACTGCAACCTCCGCCTCCCAGGTTCAAGCTATTATCCTGCCTCAGCCTCCCCAGTAGCTGGAAATTATAGGCACCCAGCACCATGATTGACTAATTATTGTTTTTTTATTTTTTGGCAATTTTTGTTTTTTTAGTAGAGACAGGATTTCACCATGTTGAACAGGCTGGTCTTGAACTCATGACTTAAAGTGATTCTCGGCCTCCCAAAGTGCTGGGATTGCAGGCCTGAGCCACTGCACCTGGCTCCAGAATATTCTTAAAGATTAAGGGTGACCAGGCACAGTGGCTCAGGCCTGTAATCCCAGCACCTTAGGAGGCCAAGGCGGGCTGATCACAAGGTCAGCGGATCAAGACCATCCTGGTCAACATGGTGAAACCCTGTCTCTACTAAAAACACAAAAAAATTAGCAGGATGTGGTGGCGCCCGACTGTAGTCCCAGCTACTCCGGAGGCTGAGGCAGGAGAATTGCTTGAACCCAAAAGGTGGAGATTGCAGTGAGCCGAGACAGTGCCACTGCACTACAGCCTGGGCGACGGTGCGAGACTCCACCTCAAAAAAAAAAAAAAAATTCTGTATATAGTTTGTTTTGTTTCTGACAGATGCAAATGCACCCTTCTAATGATTAAAGACATCTTTGTTTAATCTACCAATGAAATAATCTGACAATTTATGTAACAAATAAATTCCTATAAACATAAGCTCCCCTGCCCCTCTGCGGTGGCACAATCTCTGATTTGTTATCCTGGCTGCAACCTTCATTGCTGAATAAACGCTTATGTAAACCTTAATGATGAGATTCGAGCAGTATGAATAAACATTGGGTTATTTGGGTGCAAAGATTGAGGATGGCGACCTGGTAGGACGCAGACTCCAAAAGATGGAGGTCAGTGCTTCGAAATGGAGAAGTTTGAGGGTCGTTTATATAGGCAAGGTCTGGGAAGCTTAATAGGATGTCAACATTTTCCATAGATTAACGCATAGTTAGAGCAATTTGATTGGTTTTAGGCAGTGTTTCTTTTTGGGAAGGGTCTATTTAACATTCCACATTAAGGATGTAATAGTCAAGGGGTGGTTTATCCTTTTCAAGGCGAATTTTATCTCAAATGCCATCTGGTCTGAGCTGGGAACAAGAAAGTAAGGGAGTTAATCCATAACAAAAGGTCGGCAATTAAGAGGTCGTGCTTCGTGATCCGGTCTCCAAAGTCAGCCTTCCTCAGGGACTCCCAGAATCCCCAAATAGACTATCCACTTTCTTTCACACTTATTTGCCTCTGACCTGTTGATTCCTCCTTTTTTTCTTTTTCTTTTTATTAAGGGTTGACAATCTTTTGAGTGCACGCCGACTTTCTTCCATGCGCTTTACAGAAAAAATTCTCCTGAGGCCAGCAGCCACAGTACGTCTCAGGAACTTGTTAGAAATGCAAATGTTCAGCCCCACCCCAAATCTACTGAGTCAGCAGTTTTGCAGGTGCTTCTCAATCCCTCTTTAACATGCCCTCTGGGTGATTCGGGTGCGCGTGAAAGATAGATCTCTGCGCGAGATTACCGCGCCGAGCAGGTAAAAGCGCTCTGCAAGCTCCGGTGCTATCTGCAGGCCGGGCCGCCGCTCCTCTGGGTGGCACTAGGACCGCGGCAGCCCGGCCCTCGCAGCCACCGCCTCCGGCACGAGGCGGAGCCCAGCTGTTCCTGGATCCCGGGCCTGGCTCCTCGACCCGCCCCTGGAGGCGGACCCCACTTGACTTAAACTCTGGGGCCCGGGAGGCTGTCGGTTTTCTCCCTGCTTGGCGGGGTGGTCCTCTTCCCTGGTTGGTAAGTGTGAGGCGAGCACCCCGAGGTCCCCTCTTCGCCTTCTGGGACCCGGGTGGGGCGGGGGCCGGGAGCCCGAGGCGCTCGCGGCTGGGGCCGGCCCGCGGCGCAGAGCGCTTTTGTTCTGCTGCGAGGACGCAGTCGCGGGCGGCCCCGGAAGCCGGGCCTCTGGCCCCACCGGCTCGCGCGCCCGGCGGTCCGCAGCCCGGAGCTGGGCCGGGCCGCCGCGCTCGCTTCTGCCCGCCGCGCCGGGGCCAGCCTTGGGCCTCCGCGGACGCCGAGCCTTGCACCGGAGGGCGGGCCTCGCTGGCTGTTTTCCCTCATTGCCTGGCTCTGCGCGGTAGAGGTCGCGAGTGGCGAGGGCGAAGACGCGTTTTGTTGAACTGAGAAGCGGTTGGCTAGGCGGGTGGGTGTGAGAGCTGCTTATGTTTTTAAGGCTTTCCTGTCGCTGGAGTGAAAAAGAAAATATTTGTTTTGCTATTTCCGAGCGTTCTCCTCCCCGACCCTCTTAACCCGAGGCCTCCTGGCACGGAATTGCTCTACTCGCATCTCCAAGTGGTCCGCGAACGCTTCTGTGCCGGAGATGCTTTCTGTTCCTCAGCAAGAGTTCCTTCGGGCATTTTTAAATGCACAAATGCATACCATCTTAGGTGTTCTCGAGGGATACGGATTCCCTAAGCGAACATCCTTAGGGTCCTGAGTTTGGCAGCAAACTTTCGGGGAATCATTTCCGTGAAAACAGTTTTATTTGTAGTACATCGAGTGCAGACCGTCTTAAGACAGAGATGTGTATGAGCTTGAGGCGCATTTTCATTTTGCGGGGAGGGGAGTCGGGTGCATTTCAAGGCGGGTTTCAGAGCTTGTTTGGGGATTGTCTTTTTCTGCTAAATGTGTTAGCTTTAATCATGTTTCACTGTCATGTATGTTAAGGTTTTCGTTTTTTTCCCCTCTGTGCAGTCTGATTTTTTCTGTTTAATACCAAATCCAATAAAGACAACTGCAGAGAGAAAGTGTTGTTTTGAAGCGATAATACGATAGCGGACCTAGAGGAGCGCACATAAATTCTATCTTAAGTGAACGGTATTTTCAGGCCAGAACTAATAAGAATTCAGCTCAAAAAAAGATAAATAAATAAATTAATAAAATAAAAATAAGAATTCAGTAAACTTAGCATGCTTTCAGTGCAGCCTTAAAGGAAAGTTTTGCACAGCAATGTCATATCAGTAAACACATTAGCATATACTCTTAATTATAAAACGTTTCTTGATGTCCCTAGGACCAAAGAAGTAAATACAGGGTGGAGGGAGACTGACATGTTTGGCGGGAAATGGGAACGAGCATACACAATAATTAAAGAGCAAAGTTGTGCTTAAGGGTAAGTATGTCACCTCTAAGAAACCCACCCCGATTTAACCAGGCAGTTACTCACACTTAACTGTGGAGTAGTTTTATGGGATAAAATTTTATGGAACAAAATTACTATCGGTGAATCCACATTGGTTAAAAATTAAACTGTGGGACGCAGTGGATTTGACGACAAAGCTTGAAGAAATTATGTTGTTGGCATGGTGCTGAGAAATCAGTTGTTAATCTTAGCAAAATAAGGAAGAGGTCTGTGGTAAGGTTAGCTGTGGTGGAGGTTACCCGGGCAGAGGTCTGCTTCTGTTTGTGCTGTGTTTCTTAATTTGATTGTTCTTATTTATTACTGTTTGTGGCACATAGGGGAATGTGGCTCAGAGCACCACTCTGGAAGGATGCTTCGGTACAGCCAAAGTGGTCATGTTCCGGGCTTTCATCCTGTAACCACAAAATGTGTTAGGAAGTCTCACCTCATGACTTAAGACCATGGTCCCTGTAACACTGCTTTGGTTCAGATCTTGGCTCTAGCACTCAGCGCCCAGTATCTGTACAATCTTGGGAAAATAAACGTTTGTTTTCTCATCTATAAAATGGGGGCAAGCACTCCTGTCATGGGATTATTGTGGTAGAGTTACATGAGTTTCATGCATATCACACTTAAACAGCTTCTGACACATGTTAAGTGCCCAATAAATGTTAGCTATTGTCATGTGAGAGGAAATAGGTTTTGTGGCCTGGGACATGTAACACTGGCTTAGCACACATTCAGTTGGTTCATTTAAGCCCTAAATTCGTGAGCTTTCTGTTATTAAGCCCATCAGTGTAGATCCTCTTAGATTCTCTTTTTTGTAGGTCCTGTTTTTTTAGGAAGTACTGTCACTACTGGTCCACTTCTGGATTTACATGCAGGCTTGTTTGAAATAAAAAATGCCTCCATGGCCGGGCATAGGTGGCTCATGCCTATAATCCCAGCACTTTGGGAGGCCGAGGCGGGTGGATCACGAGGTCAAGGGATCGAGACCATCCTGGTCAACATGGTGAAACCCTGTCTCTACTAAAAACACAAAAATTAGCTGGGCATGGTGGCACACACCTGTAGTCCCAGCTACTCAGGAGGCTGAGGCAGGAGAATTGCTTGAACCCAGGAGGCGGAGGTTGCGGTGAGCCAAGATCGCGCCATTGCACTCCAGTCTGGATAACAGCGAAACTCTGTCTCAAAAAAAAAAAAATGCGTCCACTGAATTCCTAGGCAGGGCAAACTTGGCCCGAAGCTTCATTCTTAAACATTATCTCTGTGATTGTACTGGAATCTCTCTTCATTTCTAGATGATCAGTGTTTTGGACATAGTTGGAGCTCGAATGCTTAGGGAATTGATTTAATGTGTTTAAAACATATTTATAGGCCAGATGTGGTGTCTCACCTATAATGCCAACACTTTAAGAGGCTGAGGCAAGCAGATCGCTTGAGGCCAGGAGTTCCAGACCAGCCCTGGCCTCAAGTTGGCCAACATGGCAAAACCCTGTGTCTACTAAAAACGCAAAAATTAATTCAGGCATGATGTTGCGTGCCTGTAATCCCAGCTACTCCGGTGGCCGAACCTGGGAGGCAGAGGTTGTAATGACCTGAAGTCACACCACTGCACTGCAGCTTGGGTAACAGAGCAAGACTGTCTCAAAAAAAAAAAAGGGTATTTATAAAGGTAAATTTCGTCTAATCAGCCCTCCTTCCCTCCCCCATTGGAGGCACACTGTTATGTAAAGCAGACAGGGAGTGTATTCCTTTTGAGATAAGTCCAGGAGAACAGTTGACTAGCCCTGGCTATAGATTTGCAAGTTAACATTGACTTTGAAAGAAGGTGGTGAAGGAAGAATCTTGGACCTTGAGGAATTCTAAATGCTTTGTTAGGTGACAACTAGGCAGTACTTCTACTACTCCTAATACCTTAAGTGTACTTGTAAATGAAGAGCAGAGTTGGAGGCCGTAGAGGTAAATATCTCAAGTGAGATTGGAGCTATGCATTTCACGCTCCTGGGTTCATGACTGCAAAGATTTCATGACAGTAACTTGATGTATCAAATAAATTAAAAGGTTTCATTTGTAAATAAATCCTTGTGATTAAAATGCACTCATTTTAATGTTCATCAAGTTGTATCGTCCTATTAAGTTTAAGAAATAGAAACCATAGGTAATTATTTTTCAAGCCCCAAAGGATAATTCATTAGATCATTAGTTCATGGAACAGGGCTGGGTACCGCAGCTCATGCCTGTAATCCCAGCACTTTGGGTGGCTTGGGGGGTGGATCACCTGAAGTCAGGAGTTGGAGACGAGTCTAGCCAGCTGGGCCTGGTAGCGAGTGCCTGTAATCCCAGCTACTTGTGAGGACTAAGGTTGCAATGAGCGGAGATTGAGCCACTGTACTCTAGCTCGGATGACAGAATGAGACTGTCTCAGAAAATAAAGTTCATGGAGAGGCACCTTTGGGTTTTGATGGCTCCAGTATCTGAATCTGAATGTTTTAAAAGTTTGGGACACTGTATCTTTGAGCTCTGCTGTTCTCTGCCTTGGTTCTCAGGCAGATCATCCCTCCACTGGGCAGCCCTGACATCTCCAGATACGTATGCAAGCAGCTTCAGTTTGTTCAGAACATGCCTTTTGTAACTACAGTTAGAGATACAATTAATAAACCATTTGTTCACCCATTTACACCCAGTGTACAGTGGTTTTTAGTATATTCAGAGTTGTGCGGCTATCACCACTATCAATTTAAGAACATTTTATTGACCCCCAGAATATCTCCATACTCAATAGTGGTAACTCCCCATTTTCTTCAGTGCACCCTTCCATAGGCAGCCATAAATCTACTTACATAGGTTTGCATTTTCTAAACATTTCATGTAATTTAAGTCATATGTGGTATTGTGTGGTTTTTCACCCAGCATGTTTTCAAGGCTTATTTATATTAACACATGTGTTACTACATTTCTGTTGTCAAATATTCCATTGTGTGGATGCACCACTTTTGCTTATCTTCTGTCAGTTAACAGATCTTTGATGAGTTTTCACTCTGACTACTATGCCTAGTGCAGCTTATGATCATTCATAGTGTTAATGTAGACATGTGTTTTTAATTCTTTTGGATAACTACTTAGGAGTGGAATTCGTTATGATAACTGTTTAACATTTTGAGAAACTGCCAGACTATTATCCAAAGTAGCTGGGATTACTGTTTTTATTTCTCATTTAACTTTTGTTTTAAGTTTGGGGGTGCATGTGTAGGTTTATTATATATATAGGTAAAGTTGTGTCATGGGGGTTTCTTGCACAAATTATTTCATCACCCAGGTGTGTTTTCTTTTTCTTTTTTTAAGATGGGGTTTCACCATGTTGGTCAGGCTGGTCTTGAACGCCCGACCTCAGGTGATCCGCCTCCCTTGGCCTCCAAAGTGCTTGGAGTACAAGCATGAGCCACCACTCCCGGCCCCAGGTGTGTTTTCGTATCCGTCCTATAGGCCCCAGTGTGTTGTTCCCCTCTGCGTGTCCACATATTCTCCTAATTTAGCTCCCACTTATATGTGAAAGTATGCAATATTCAGTTTCCTGTGTTAGTTTGCTAAGGATAAAGTCCTCCAGCTCTAAGCTCCTACAAAGGACATGGTCTCTTTCTTTTTTCATGGCTGCATTGTATTCCCTGGTGTATGAGTACCATATTTTCTTTATCTAGTTTACCATTGATAGGCATTTAGGTTGATTCCATGTCTTTGCTATTGTGAATAGAGATGCACCATTTTATACAGCAATGTTTGAGACTTCTAATTTGTCTACATCTATCGACACTTAACTTTCATAGTCCCTGAAGTGAGCCTGAAGTGGTAGCTCTTTGTGGCTGCGACTTGCATTTTCCTTCTAATTAATGATGTTAAGCATCTTTTTATGTGCATATTGATTTCTTTGGAGAAGTGTCTATTCAAAACCTTTGACCTTAAATTTGTGTTGTTTTTGGATTGTCAAGTTGTAAGATTTTAATATATCCTGGATTCTTCTCATTCCTTACTAGTGACCATAAATGTGAAGGTTTACTTCTGGGTTCTGGGTTCTAGTCCATGGATCAATGCCTGTCCTGTGTCAGTACTATATGGTCTTGTTTATTGTAGTTTTATCGTTTTGTTTTTTGTTGCTGTTTTTAAGAGAGTCTCACCCTGCTGCCCAGGCTGAAGTGCAGTCGTGTGATCTTGGCTCACTGCAGCTTCCACCTCCTGGGTTCAAGCAATAATTCTGTCTTAGCCTCCAAAGTAGCTGGGATTACAGGCACACGCCTGTTTTGCTCTTGTGGCCCAGACTGGAGTGCAGTGGTGCTATCTCGGCTCAATGCAACCTCCGCCTCCCGAGTAGCTAGGGTTACAGGCATGCACCATCACACCCGGCTAATTTTTGGTATTTTTAGTAGAGGCAGGGTTTCTTCATGTTGGTTAGGCAGGCCTTGAACTCTTGACCCCACGTGATCTGCCTGCCTCGGCCTCCCAAAGTGCAGAGATTACAGGCGTGAGCCACCGGGCCGGTCGTCTACTCCCTTTTTAATCCCTTCTTTTTCTACGTGGCAGTTACTGAGTGGAAAATGAAAGTGCCCTGATTGGTCCACTCCTCCATTCAGCCGGACTGGTGGCTGATCACTACTTCATTTGCATAGAGCGAACCAATGGGAAACCTCTAGAGGGTATTTAAACCCCAGGACATTCTGTAAGTGGCCATTACTGGCTTACGCCTGTAATACCAGCACTTTGGGAAGCTGCAGTGGGTGGATCACGAGGTCAGTTGGAGACCAGTCTGGTCAACAGCGAAAACCCGTCTTTACTAAAAATACAAAAAATTAGTTGGGAGTGATGGTGTGCACCTGTAGTCCCAGCTACTCGGGAGGCTGAGGCAGGAGAATTGTGTGAACCCAGCAGGCGGAGGTCGCAGTGAGCCAAGATTGTGCCACTTGGTTCCAGCCTGGCAGCCCAGGCAACAGTGCGAGACTCTGTCTGAAAAGAAAAAAAAAGAAAATTCTATAACTGATGCTCTTGAGCCGCTTTCTGCACACGCGTCCACTCTGTGGAGTGTACTGTACTTTAAAATAAATTGCTGCTTTGGCTGCCTTGTTTGTGTGTTTTGTCCAGTTCTTTGCTCAGGATGCCAAGAACCTGGACAACTACCTTCAACCACATGTTTTCAAGGAAATCATCTGTTCCACTGAGGGCATTTTGTCCTTCTCCAGTGGCAGAAAATTGGCTTACTCCTATTGTAAGAAGCAATGTTTGTACTTCAAATACAGTTTTTGCCTCAACACAATATTGTCTTTTTTTTTTTTGAGACAGAGTCTCACTCCATCGCCAGGCGCCAGGCTGGAGTGCAGTGGCATGATCTCGGCTCATTGCAACCTCCACCTCCCGGGTTCAAGCAATTCTCCTGCCTCAGCCTCCCGAGTAGCTGGGATTACAGGCGTGCGCCACCATGCCCAGCTAATTTTTTGTATTTTTAGTAGAGACCGGTCTCGAGGTCATGTTGGCCAGGATGGTCTCGATCTCTTGACCTCGTGATCCACCCGCCTCGGCCTCCCAAAGTGCTGGGATTACAGGCTTGAGCCACCGCGCCCAGCCTCAACACAATATTGTCGTATATGGTCTGTACCTGCCTGCCCCACACTGATGTGTCACGTGTACTTGGGGGTATTTGTCAGAGCTTTTCAGATATTTAAGACCACCATACCTCTAGTACATGGGGCGTCCAATCTTTTGGCTTCCCTAGGTCACTTTAGAAGAATTGTCTTGGGCCACACATAAAATTCACTAACACTAGATGATGAGCTTAAAGAAAATTCCAGAAAAACCTCAAATGTTTTAAGAATGTTTATGAATTTGTGTTGAGCCTCATTCAAAGCTGTCTTGGGCTGCATGCGGCCCGAGGGCTGTGAATTGGACAAGCTTGCTCTAGTAGATAATGTTTCCTTGAGGTGGGTACCCAGAGGGCTCTAAAACGAATTACTTGGCAGAATTTTGGGAAGGATAACTGGTTTCTGTTGTCTTTAATTCTGTTTTAGGGAATAATAAAACTAGAAAACATGGTCTGAAATTTGTCTCTGATGTCTCTGCTCTGAAGGCACAACAGAGTGTCAGCATTCTAGCCTGAATGATGATTGTTGCATTGGTCTGAACTTCTGCTGGCCAGTCAAAATATATGTGATTGCCAGAACTTCATGTTCCACCTGTATTAATGAGTCAGAAAAAGTAGAACAATTTATTTCTCCTTTTTTTTTTCTTTTTTTTTTTTTTTAAAGACAGGGTTTCACCATGTTGGTCAGGGTGGTCTCGAACTCCCGACCTCAGATGATCCGCCCACCTTGGCCTCCAAACTGCTTGGATTACGGGCCTAAGCCACCACACCTGGGTTTTTTTTTTTTTTTTTTTAATGGAGGAAGCCCTGTGGCTCTCACTGATGAAGCTTGGTGTGGTATTTGGGATATATTTAGCTGGCTTGGCTCTGCAATGGGAACCTTGTGGTGTGTCCTCCACAATAGATGTGATCATCCTGCTGGGAGTCACAATTACAGGCCCTTTTAATCCAGTGTTGCCTAAGACAAAATACAATGGATCAGGATATCTGATTGGATGGCCTGTGCTTCTGAATAGAGTTTGTAGTTGGATACATGAAAGATGAGACGGCAGAGTTGTAGGTAAACAGCTTGACCTTGGTGCCCTGATGACTTGCTCTTCTCACAGACCATGCAGGCAAAGCTTAAGCTTAATCACAGGCTGACCCATATTCTGGCAAGACACCCTGCAGGTCCTCCACTAACAAAGTGAGAGAAAAACAGCTCTGTGAGAAACAGTCACAAAGCTGTTTCTCATCTGCCTCCTTAGTTTCAGTTGAGCCTAGGACTTCACCACCTCAGGGCTATGGTTGCAGGCTATAAAATGGCCACAGTGTAGTGTTCTCATCTGGCTTGGTGTCATCCTCTGAGACTGGGGATACTGATCTTGATTTTGCTGTTGAACCTAGTAATATATGAATCCATTTGTCCTTTTACAGACCACATTTATAGAAGCGTAGAGGACTGTTCTGCACCTTCTCACCACTGTGCTACAGAGGGAAGATTGCAAGTCTTTGTTAATTTGTTGTGATATTTAAATGAGAGAAAGTGTGTGAAGCATTCCACAGAGTTCTTTACATATAGTAGATTTTCAAATAACAGTTGTTTATAGTAGTACAAATGTACCTCAACTTATGATGGAGTTACATCTTGGTAACTCATATTAAATAGAAAATATCATAAGTCAAAAATGGTGGGAGTTTTTTTGTTTGATTTTAGAGGTCTTTTTTTATTGAGACAGAGTCTCGGTCTGTCACCCAGGCTGGAGTGCAATGACGTGATCTCAGCTCGCTGCAACTTCTGCTTCCTGGCTTGAAATGGTTCTCCTGCCTCAGCCTGTCCAGTAGCTGAAATTACAGGTGTGTGACACCACGATCAGCTGATTTTTCTATCTTCAGTAGAGACAGGATTTCAACATGTTAGTCAGGCTGATGTTGCACTCCTGACACCCAGCTGGTATGTCCACTGAAGAACTGATTGCTTGTTACTTGGGGTGAAAAACCCACATATCTGGTGTCAGAAGTGTGAGAAATTCTCAGAATTGTTTATATTAAAATATTATTTTTTTAAATAATTACATTTACCTTTAATGTTTTACATTTTGTTTTTGTCTCATGTCTTTATTCCTTCTTAGTGGGATTTATTTTGCATAATGAGTGTTTTCTAATGTAGCATTTCAATTTCTTTGTTTTTAATTTCCTTAATGATATTTTCACTGCGTATTTTTTTGTTATTTAATGGAAGCACTAATTCTTTTTATTTATTTTTATGTAGCACGGATTCTTTTTAAAAATATTTTTTAAGTATCAGTGATGTGGCCTGACAGAGATCTTAGATGGGGCAGGAATTTATTTCACAGAGAAACTGTAATGATGAACCATGGAAACCTTGTGTATGGTAATGTGCATTGCAATATATTCTCAAAAATTCTAAGAATACAAAAAAGAAAACAACAACAAAAAGTCCTAAGAATACATTATATCCAAAAGTAGATTCTGCAGTCCTAGAGACTGCAGCTGAACCTCAAATAACATGAGTTTGAACCACGTGGATCTGCTTACATACGGATTTTTTTTTTTTTTTTTAAGAAAAGAGTTTCGCTCTGTCCAAACCACGTGGATCTGCTTACATACGGATTTTTTTTTTTTTTTTTTTTTTTTTTGAGAAAGAGTTTCGCTCTGTCCCCCAGGCTGGAGTGCAGTGGTACAATCTCTCACTGCAACCTCTGCCTCCTGGGTTCAACCAGTCCTCTGCCTTAGCCTCCCAAGTAGTGGGGATTACAGGTACCTGCCACCACGACCGGCTAATTTTTGTATTTTTAGTAGAGATAGGGTTTCACCATCTTGGCCATGCTGTTCTTGAACTCCTGACCTTGTGAGCCACCCTTCTCAGCCTCCTGAATTAGGATTACAGGCATGAGCCACCGAGCCTGGCCCACGTTTAACTTTTGACTCCTCACAACTTAATCACTAATAGCCTACTGTTTAGTGGAAGCCTTACTAATAATACGAACAATTAATATATACATATTTTGTATGTTACATGTAGTATATACTGTATTTTTAGAATAAGCTACAGAAAAGGAAATTTTGTTAAGAAAATCACAAAAGAATATATTTACTATTCATCAAGTGGAAATGGATATCATAAATGTCTTTATCCTCATCACATTTATCTTGAGTAGGCAGAGGAGGAGGAAGAGGAGGAGTTGGTCTACCTTGTCTCCAGGGTGGCAGAGACAAAAGAAAATATACAGATAAGTGGACCCACACACTTCAAAGCCATGTTCAAGGATCAACTGTAGTGTCTCTTATACAGTGTCTAAGCTTCATGCGTTTTTTTTGTTGTTGTTTTTTTTTAAGATGGAGTCTCCCTCTGTCACCCAGGCTGGCTCACTACAACCTCCACCTCTCAGGTTCAAGCCATTCTCCTGCCTTAGCCTCCTCAGTAGGTGGGATTACAGGCACATACCACCATGCCCAGTTCACTTTTGTATTTTTAGCAGAGACGAGGTGTCACCATGTTGGTCAGGCTGGTCTCAAACTCCTGAACTCATGATCTGCCTGCCTTGGCCTCCCAAAGTGCTGGGATTATAGGGGTGAGCCACCAAGCCCGGCCTTATGCTTATTTTTTATTGAGTCGTCCACATTTTTCTTTTTAAGAAATTCCCTATGTAGGCTGGATATGAGCTCTTTGGTATGTATTGCAAGTGTAATGTTCTATAGAGTGACTGCTTTTATACTTACTTCCTTATTGGCATTTTTTATAAACAGGTGATTAATTTTGATGCAGTTTATTTTATGGACCTTTTCATTGTGCCCTGTTTTACAAACCTTCCCCTATTCCAAGATCATAAAGGTATTCTCTTGTATTGTTTCTGGAAACTTTTTTTTCCCTGAGACGGAGTTTTGCTTCATTGCTGAGGCTCTGGAGTGCAGTGGTGCAGTCTTGGCTCACCGCAACCTCCACCTCCTGGATTCAAGAGATTCTCCTGCCTCAGCCTCACAAGTAGCTGGGATTACAGGTGTGTGCCACCATGTTCAGCTAATTTTTGCATTTTTAGTAGAGACAGGCTTTCACTATGTTGGTCAGGTTAGTTTCAAACTCCTGACCGCAGGTGGTTTGCCCATCTTGGCCTCTCAGAGTGCTGGGATTTACAGAAGTGAGCCACCACACCTGGCCTATTTCTAGAAACTTTAAAATGATAATCTACATGGGATTGATTTGTGTGTATGTCTCTGGATGTGTAATTGGATAAGGCTTATTTTCTTTTTGTTGCATATGGATAACCAATTGACCTAGCTTTATGTATTGAAAAGAACTTTCCTGACTTTGTCATAAAACAGATATCTTTTATATATATAAAAGTATACATCTTTGCTATTCATGCTTGTTTTGCATTGCCATAGTATATATATATATACCTTTATATATAAAAGTATATGTCTTTGCTATTCATGCTTGTTTTGCATTGGAAAGTTTATAATCAAGCTCATAAATTTACACCAAGAAAATCCACTGGGATGTTTACTGGAATTGCATTGACTCTTTATTATTATTATTTTGAGACAGAGTCTTGCTCTGTTGCTCAGGCTGGAGTGCAGTGGCACGATCTCGGCTCATGGCATCCTCCGCCATCCGGGTTCACACAATTCTCCTGCCTCAGCTTCCTGAGCAGCTGGGATTACAGGCATGCTTGCACCACCACGCCCAGCTAATTTTTTTTTATTTTTAGTAGAGAAGGGGTTTCACCATGTTGGCCAGGATGGTCTCAATCTCTTGATCCACCCACCTCGGCCTGCCAAAGTGCTGGGCTTATAGGCATGAGCCACCGTGCCTGGCCTTTTTTTTTTTTTTTTTTTTTTTTTTTTTGAGACAGAGTCTCACTCTGTCACCCAAGCTAGAGTGCAGGGGTGCCATCTTAGCTCTCTGCAGCCTCTTCTTCTTAGGTTCAAGTGATTCTCATGCCTCAGCCTCCTGAGTAGCTGGGATTATAGGTGCCCGCCACCATGTCCAGCTGATTTTTTTGCATTTTTAGTAAAGACAGGGATTTGCTATGTTGGCCAGGCTGATCTCAAACTCCTGGCTTCAAATGATCCACCTGCCTTGGCCTCCCAAAGTGCTGGGATTACAGATGTGGGCTTCTGCACTGGCCTCATGATGCTTTTGTTATTGTAGTTACTTTGATTTCCAAATAACAAACTTTGTATTCCTAAAATAAGCAGTTTGGTTCACATGTATTATTCCTCTCATCAGTTCATTTAGGTTGCCAACATTTTGTTTATAAAAGCAAAACTTAAGCAAACCAAATTTTTATTGGTAGACGACAGGTTAAATGGTGGTCTGAGAAATGCTTTTCTCTGCTCTCACAATACTTCTGACACCAGATGTGGGGGATTTTTTTCCCCCAACTGACCAGTTCTCTCCAGATACCAACTGGGTGGCTTGTGATATGATTCAATTCTGACACTGTCTACCTGGCATTACCATAACAGATCCCACAAGTTAAAGGGCTCAGTCCTATGAGACTGCCCCTACTTGAAGGCATTCACAAATCCAGTCTTGTACTTCTGACCACCTGGATATAAAGCAAACAAAGTATGCTTTCTCTGAGGTCACTGCCTTCCCAGTACTTCAATGTGTTCACCAACCCCGAAGCTCATTGAACGACATTGTTCATGAGGTGTTTTGTTTGTTTGGTTTGGTTTCGTTTCCTTTGGTTTGAGATGGAGTCTTACTCTGTTGTCCAGGCTAGAGTGCTGCTGTGGCATGATCTTGGCTCACTGCAACCTCTGCCTCCCAGGTTCAAACTATTCTCCTGCCTCAGCCTCCCAAGTAGCTGGGACTACAGGCACCCACCACCACGCCCAGCTAATTTTTGTATTTTTAGTAGAGACGGGGTTTCACCACGTTGACCAGGATGATCTCGATCTCTTGATCTCGTGACCTGCCTGCCTTGGCCACCCAAAGTGCTGGGATTACAGGCATGAGGCACCTTGCCCAGAGAGGATTTTTTGTTTTTTTTTTTTTAAAGTCTTATTTTGTCACCCGGGCTGGAGTTGAGTGGCACCGTCATGTCATGACTCACTGCAGCCTCAACTCGCAGGTTCAGGTGATCCTCCCACCCTGCCTTTTGTTTTCTGCGTAGGTGGCTGGGCCATGAGCATGCACTGCCATGGTGGGCTAATTTTATTTTTATTTTTATAATTTTCAGTAGAGATAGGGTTTCACTATGTTTCCCAGACTGGTCTTAAACTCCTGGCCTTAAGAGATCCTCCCACCTCAGCCTTACAGAATGCTGGGATTACAGGCATGAGCCACTGTATCCAGCAAAGAGTTTTTATAGAGTGTAGTCTCCAACTTCCCCTACCACCTTATGGAGGTCGGTGGTTAGAACTAAAAGTCCCAACCCTTTAACACTTAGTATTCTTGGTGACCACCAGCTTTATCCTGAAGGTATCTAGGAGTTCCCACCGTAAGTTATCGCAATAGCACAGACTCAGGTATACACAAACAGGGCTCTCATTATGAATAACAAAAGATACTCCTGACATTCAAGAACTTCCAAGGGTTTTAGGTGCTTTGTGCCAGGAACCAGGGACAAAGACCATATACAGTTCTTAGTATACCACAGGTAATATAGGATTAAAGTAGAATGCTTTGCAGACATGAGGTAGATGGGAGGTGTATATACAATATACTAGATCAAATAGATGAAAAACAGGCAATTGTAGATGATGTGTTTGGGAAGATTCCATTTGTTTTAAAAGATGTTTTATTTTTGAATTAATGTTTGCTTATGCCAGAAATTTTCTTGAGTGCAATAGTGCAATCTCGGCTCACTACATCCTTCACCTCCCAGCTTCAAATGATTCTCGTGCATTAGCCTCCTTGAGTAGCTTGGATTCCAGGTGTGCATCACCACACCCAGCTAATTTGTTGCATTTTTAGTAAAAATGGGATTTTGCCATGTTAGGCTGGTCTGAAACTCCTGGCCTCAGGTTATCTACCTGCCTCAGCCTCCCAAAGTGCTGGGATTACAGGCATGAGCCACTGCACCCAGCTTTATGCCAGAAATTTACTGAGTTCAGTAAGGTAACCTTGAATAGTGCTGGGTAGTTTAATGCTGTTAACCATATGTTTGAGCTTTTTAAATTATTATTATTATTATTATTATTGTTATCTTAGCTTTTTTTTTCAAAATACAATTAGCATGGATTACTTAGAATAGAGAGTCTTGTTAAAATAAGTAAAAGCAGAAGGTGATTGGAATTGAAATGTAACAAAAAGCTAGCTGTTAATTGTGTAGAGTGAATTTCTGTTAAACACTTCAGAAATTACATTGACACTTGCCTTGTTGTATCCTCTATTGCTCTTTCTCTTCCCATGAAGATGAGGCTGCTCTGGAGATTCAGTAATTAGGATGGATACTCAGCTACAGATTTTTTTAGAGGTTCTATGTAGGCAAAATAGCATTTTAATAAAAGATTTTTGTTTCTTACAGATTCCTGACATTCAAACAACTGACTTGTAATATATTGCTATTGTATCAAACCGACAATGAATTGGAATGCAAAACCAAAGAGTGCTACATTACCACCACTGTATCCGAAAAGCCAGCCACTTTTTTTGCAGCAGTCTTTAATTAACCAAGTTACCACAACATCTCCAAGCTCTTTCAGCTATCCTGGAAGTAACCAAGAAGCATGCATGTATCCCAGTAATTCAAATTCAATTTCACAGCCACTGCTAAATGTCCAGAATTATCCTCAACAAATCTCTGTTTCTGATATGCATAATGGGACAGTTGTGGCCTCGCATACTTCAGTAGAAAGAATAACATACGCAAATGTTAATGGACCCAAACAGCTAACTCAAAATTTGCAAATATCTTCAGGAGCGACACAAAATGTATGGTCGAACTCGACAATAAGGAATCCTGTGCATTCTCCTATTGGGGCAACTGGGTCTCATCTAACTGATTTTAGAACTAATGCACCCAGTGTGCCTGCACTGCAGAGTCAATTGGTAACATCAGATACCTGTTCTATGCATATGCAAATGATCCCTTCTAATTCTACAAGACTTCCTGTGGCTTACCAAGGAAACCAGGGACTTAACCAGTCTTTTTCAGAGCAGCAGGTTGATTGGACACAACACTATATGTCTAAGGGACTGACTTATCCAGATTACAGACCACCTCCAAAGCGATACCGTTACTCACCACAAAGCTTTTTACAAGATCCTGCCATTCAGAAAGGAAACCTTACTACATCGTTACAAGTTAAAAATAGTCAGCTTCCAAATTCTGTGCTAACTTTATTGTCAAAGCAGACTGCAGCTGTACCATCACAGCAGTATGCCATGCAAACTGACAGAAGACCTCCTCCTCCTTACAACTGTAGATATGGAAGCCAGCCTTTGCAAAGTACTCAGTGTATTACTAAACACTTGTCTATGGAAGTTCCTCCTAGTGGAGAAATGCACTCATCTGAAATGAGGGCCAGCTTTCAACAGCAGTGGCAAAACCCTAATGAAAGTATTAGCACAATTGGAAATTTTTCTAACTTGAAAGTAAATACCAGCAGCAAACAACCTTTTAATGATCCCATTAGATCTTCTGTGGATGGTGTTCAGACTCTTGCTCAGAATAATGAAGAGAAAAGGAAGGATTCTTATAATCCAACTTCAAATCAAGTACTGGACACAAGTGTTACAAAAGAAAAGCTAGTAAGGGATATTAAAACATTAGTAGAAATAAAACAGAAGTTTTCAGAACTTGCAAGGAAAATTAAAATCAATAAAGATCTTTTGATGGCAGCAGGTTGTATTAAAATGACTAATACCTCTTATAGTGAACCAGCTCAGAATTCTGAATTGTCTCTGAAACAAACTGCCAAAATCCAGTCTGCACCACGGATATCTCCAGTAACGTCAGAGAGTGCAGATAGACAACCACCTACAGTAGTGAAATCTACGGAAACAAGTAAGACTCAATGTACGTTGAATTCTGACATTCAGAAAATCAATTGCAGAAGGTTTAACCAAGTTAATTCTGTTGTTTTACCAAATCCTGTGTATTCTGAAAAGCAGCCAATGCCAGATCAGACTCATGATGTGAAAGTTCTCACTTCAAAGACATCAGCTGTTGAGATGACCCAGGCAATATTAAGTACTCCACTTTCATCAGAAAATGTTAGCAAAGTTGAGCAAAATTCAGCAGTTTGTGAAACAATTTCTGTTCCCAAGTCCGTGTCCACTGAGGAATATACATCAAACATTCAAAATAAAAATGCACTACTTATCCGTTTCCTTTTAGAGGCAGGTAAGACTCAGAAGACCGTATTTAAAGATGCTAGTCAAACTATTCAGGATTCTAAACCAGACAGTTGTGAAATGAACCCAAGTACCCAAAAGACTGGTAACCAACTAAATTTGAAGACCATGGAAACTCCAAGTATTTCTAATGTAAGTGGTGGGATTTCAGACAATTCTTTTTGCAGTGAACAAGAATCCTCAACAAAAGGAATGCCTGCTAAAAGTGACAGTAGCTGTTCCATGGAAGTGCTAGCAACCTGTCTTTCTCTTTGGAAAAAGCAACCTTCAGAAAGTACAAAAGAAAAGCAGTGTGATAAACTCAGAACAAACACAACAGCAGTTGGAATTTCAAAGCCTGCTAACATCCACGTTAAGAGTCGTTGTTCAGTTGTGGGAAATTCAAATTCTCAGAATAAAATAAGTAATTCCTCACCGCAAACAGGTTTGTCAATGGTAGTGCACAATTACGAGTCTTTATGCATTAACACAACAAAGGGAACAGAACTTCAGATTGCTGTAGTCTCACCGTTAATTCTGTCAGATGTCAAAACATTGTCTGTCAAAGGAGTAACACCTGCAGCATTACCTGAAACAGTGTATCCAGTTATTAAAGAAGGCAGTGTTTGTAGTTTACAAAATCAGTTGCCAGAAAATGCAAAGACAGATGCTGCTTTGAAAGTTGATGTTAGTGGACCAGTAGCAAGTACTGCAGTGTCAACCAAGATTTTCCCACTAACTGAGAAGGAAAAGCAGAATGACTCAACTAATGGTAATTCAGAAGGCACACTTAATGTCAGTCAAGGAAAGCATAACAAATTAGAGTCAGCTATCCATTCTCCTATGAGTGATCAGCAAACCTCACAGGAATCAAGGGATAGTACTGTTGTGAGTAGTGATATATTACAGATTGACAATATATGTTCTCTGGTTGAAGGTGATACCTCTTACAATTCCCAAATTGCAAAGATATTCAGCTCTCTTTCTTTGAAAGTGGTTGAGCCACAGAAACCATCTCTACCCGATCAGCAAGGGATTGGTAGCAGAGAACCAGAAAAACAATCAGATGATACCACTGAAAATAAAGACTTTGGTTTTCAAAAAGATAAACCTGTACAGTGCACAGATGTTTCACATAAAATATGTGATCAGCCAAAGTCAGAGCCACCCTTAGAGTCATCTTTTAGTAATCTTGAACTAAACAGAGGAATTCTGGAGGAAAGTAGTTTGGAGCATGCCACTGAAGAAAGCACAGCTAACGATACATGTTCATCAGCTGCTATTCAGGAGGATATTTATCCCCAGGAAACTGATGTATCCAGCAATTACACTGCCCAAGGTCCTGCAGGAAATGAAACTCACAGTGATAAGGTGCCTGTCTTATACCTACATGACCAGCTGTCAGAACTTTTAAAAGAGTTTCCTTATGGCATTGAGGCTGTTAATACACATGATGGTTCTGTGGGCCAGCAAACAACATACCCGACCTCAGAAGATCAGACTGCTGATAAAACCAGTTCTGACTCCAAAGACCCAGGAGATCAAATACAAATTACAATGTTAAGCTCAGAGCAAATGAAAGAAATATTTACTGAACAGGATGATCAACCTTGTGTGGTAGACAAGTTGGAAGAACCTGAGAAAGAAAAGCCCATCACAGAAGTAGGTAGCCATTGTGACCTGCAGGCACCTGCAGGAGGAGAAAGTCGTGATTCTCTGGTACTGAACTCAGAGAAAGATGACATCCACTGCTGTGCGTTGGGTTGGCTCTCCATGATTTATGAAGGAGTACCCCAGTGTCAGTGTGATTCCATCAAGAACTCAACTTCAGAGGAAGAGAAAGGAGATCAGTGTTCTCCTTTGGAGACCAACAGTTGTAAACAAGGAGAGAGAACCTCTGATAGAGCTGTCCCTGTTGTTGAATCTAAGATCCTTCTAAATAATCCAAAGACGACTCCTCCTCCAGATGGGGAAAGTCATTTTCCTGAAATACAATATGATGATGATAGTATCAAAGATGCATCCACAACAAAACATAAAAGCATACCAAGAGTGGAACAAGAATTAACAGCTGGTCAGTTTTCATCCAAATGTGATAAACTAGATGATCCCTTGCAAAATCACAAAAAAAAAAAACTGAGGTTTCATGAGGTAACCTTTCACTCCAGTAATAAAACGACAGCATCTTATGAACAAGCTTCTCAAGAAACTCAACAGAAGAAACATATAACACAGAACTCACGCCCACTAAAAGCAAAAACAGCTTTTTTTTCAAATAAAGATCTATATAAGAAGCATAGTTCCTTGGGACAGCCATTGCCAGAAAAGATGAAATTCAAACCAGATGGCTTCAAACAAAAACATTTGGAAAAAAGGAAGTTAGACCAAGGGAACGTATTAGATATGGAAGTAAAGAGGAAGAAACGTGATAAACAAGAACAGAATGAAAGTGTGGGAGCTAAGTTCAAATTAGGTGACTCTTCGTCAAACCCAAAGGAGAGAGCCATTGTTAAGGAAAAGATAGTATCAAATACTAAGTCTTTAGACATGAAAGCTAGTTCATCTAAATTTGGAATTCCTAAGGAGTATTTACAAAGGCAGAAGCATAAAGAAGCTGTGAGTAATAAAGCATCGAAAATCTGTGTGAAAAATGTACCATGTGATTCTGAACACATGAGACCCAGTAAATTTGTGCAGGTCGGAAGTTGTGGGAAATCGAATGAGAGACACAGCAGCAGTGTACAGACCTCTAAAGAATCATTAAATGGCTTGACAAGCCATGTTAAAAACCTCAAAATCCACCATTCTGAGGAGTCTAAAACATACAATATTTTAAAGAATGTTAAAGAAAAAGTTGATAGAAGGCAGTCTGACAAAATATGGATTGACCAGACTAAATTAGACAAGAAATTAACCAGTATAAGCAGTGAAGCTCAATTCAGCCAAATGCCTCCCCAAGTAAAGGATCAAAAGAAATTATATCTGAATAGAGTTGCATTTAAATGCACTGAACGTGAAAGCATTTGTCTCACCAGATTAGACAATTCACCCAGGAAGCTTCATAAAGATAAAGAGAAGAGACAGGAAAATAAACGTAAGACCTTTTTACCAGTGAAAGATAACACAGATAAATCAAACATGCTGGAGTTTAAATTATGTCCAGATAGCTTACTAAAGAATGCAAACTCTGTGGAAGAACGGAAGGATGTAAATCCTCATCCCAGGAAGGAGCAAGCCCACGTGCAAGGTCCAGTATGATTTTCTTGGTGGTGTCTACAACATTGTAAAGAGCCATAGGTCAACATTTGGGCTAGCACCTCTCATGCTGTCTGGGCTGCTGGGAAAGACTTAAATGTGTTATGCCACTATCTAGTATTTGTTTTGCCTGGTAAACCTATGTTTTATCGGGGAATATTTGTTTTGTGTTTATTGCCACCTTATTGTAAGTTGTAGGAAATGGGTAGTCATGACAAGCTGTATAAAACTTGCCAAATAGAAATATTTCAGTTAGTATCAAAAAGGCTGTACTGTGAAAAACATTTCCACGTTCCTTGTGGGAATGTCAGAAAAGTGTCAAGGAGCCAGTGTTGTAAAGTCTTGGTTTTGTTAATTCTCCTTTGGACTTGTAATTTGAAAGACCTGTGAACTTGAAATTTCGTTCTAAATATTAGAGGATATGTAATTGTTAATAATGAGGTATTTTTGTTCATATGGAAATGGGTTGACTAATTGTCATTTTTGAAACAGCTGATGACTGTGTTATCACTATAGTTAAAATGGTAACATCTAGCCTACTTAGAAGCTGGAAGGACCATGAAGGTAGTATTGTCCAGTGTTACAATTTAAAATCTGTAGAGCCAAGCTGGCAGCTTATGAATATTAGGTAACCTAATGGTAGACTTCTCAATGTGGTGCAGGAAGGAAGGAGAAAATTGATAGCTAGTTATTTGTGGTACTAAGGGAGCACTGTGCTAAGAAACTCAAGACTGGAGAACTTAAGGATTTGAATGGAAATTGGAGTCTGCTTTTCTGACTATGTTTGTTGGGGTTCATAAACAATAGCACAAATAGGATACATTTTCCTGGAAAAGAGTATAGGGATATACTCATTTTGTAAAAAATTAGTGCTTTCAATAGGTTCCTTCATTTGGATCCTTAGAATTTGAGGTGTGGATGTAATCAGAACATGGGAAGTGGGTGGGGGCAATGTAACTTTCTATGTCATGTGCCCTTAAATATCTTGAGATGTGTTAACCTGTTCAGCTCAGGTGAGGGGAACATAATTACATAGTAAGGATAAACTCATTTTTTAATGATGAGATAAGCATTTCGAATAGGGGAAATTATTTTTCCAGTCCTTTTTATTGAGTTGTGTTGCATATGGTTATATCGAGTGCCTTCCAAAATCTGTTTTCAGCTTACATGATTTTCCTTTGTTGTAGTACTAAAGGAGATGATTAGCAATATCTAGAGTTCTGAAAATGAATATTTAAATAGTTTCAGGAATAAAAAGTACAAAAGAAGACTGGTTAAAATGTATTGCTATGAAGAAAAAAACACAGAAAAACAGCCAAGAAAAAGGTAAAGTATTTTTAAGTCTTGTTTCTACTTATTTGCCTATCTGGTATATGGAAGTTAGATTATGATTACGATATGATTGTAAACTATGATTTTATCCTTTTTTTTTTTATGAGATGGAGTTTGCTGCAGTGGCGTGATCTTGGCTCACTGCAACCTCTGCCTCCTGGGTTCAACCAGTTCTTCTGCCTCAGTTTCCCCCGACTAGCTGGTACTACAGGTGCACACCACCACGCCCAGCTAATGTTTGTATTTTTTTTTTCTTTTTTCTTTTTCTTTTTTTTTTTTTTTTAGATGGGGTTTCACCATGATGGCCAGGCTGGTCTTGAACTCCTGACCTCAGGTGATCCACCCACCTTGGCCTCCCAAAGTGCTGGGATTACAGGCACGAGCCACCGCGCCCGGCCAGTTTTTGTATTTTTAATAGAGACAAGGTTTCACCAAACTAGTCACAGTGGTCTCAATATCTCCACCTTATGATCTGCCTGCCTTTGCCTCCCAAAGTGCCGGGATTGCAAGTGTGAGCCGCCGTGCCCAGCCCCATGTTCTATTTTTCAGTCATTCAGTGTTTGTGTTTGAGTGGTAGGAGGACATTTTCCTGTTGTCATGCTGTGGGACTTAACTTTCTTTTAACAGGAAAATAATTCTCATCACAATAAGTTAGATAAGACTTTTGTACATTTTACCTATATAGTTCCAGACAACAAATATTTCAGGTTTTCTGGGTCATAAAGTGTATGTCCTGACTACTCAGCTCTGAGTAGTCTACTCTGACTACTCAGTGGCTGCAGATAATATGTAGATGAGTATCAACTGTGTTCTGATTACTTTTTTTTTTTTTTTTTTTTTTAAGACAGAGTCTCACTCTGTCATCCAGGCTGGAGTGCAGTGGCATGATCATGCTTCACTGCAACCTTCGCCTCCCGAATTCAAGTGATTCTTCTCTGTGGGCCTCTCCTAGCTGGGACTACAAGTGCACACCACCACACCCAGCTAAATTTTTTGTATTTTTAGTAGAGACAGGGTTTCACCATGTTGGCCAGGCTGAACTGGCATCAGGTGGTCCACATGTCTCAGCCTTCCAAAGTGCTGGGATTACAGGCATGAGCCACCATGCCTGGCCTCTATTTAAACTTTATCTACCAAAATAGGCAGCAGGCTGGACTGTTTGCCAACCCCTGAATTTGATTATTCACATGTAAATTTCATTAAACCGCAATACAATTTAGGCAAGGATATTCCCATTTTATAGATAAGAGGTGTGACATAATTTGACTTACGTTTCATTGCTAGTTACTAAATAGGGACTGGAACCTGGTCCCCCCTCTTCAAAGTCCATTAAGTATGGTTGAGGTATAGTCAGCCCTCCATATCTGCGTGTTCTGTATCTCTAGATTCAAATAACCGTGGATTTAAAATATTTGGGGAAAAAAATAAAAATAGAAACTTAAAAGACAATACAGTATAAAAACTATTTACATAGGATTTACATTGTATTTGGTATTAAAAGTAATCTAGAAATGATTTAAGGTATGTAGGGGTATGCTTTAGATTAGGTAAAAATACTATGCCATTCTGTAAGGTACTTAAGCACCCCCGGATTTTGGTATCTATTTGGGTGGGTGCTGCAGAGGTGTCCTGGAATCAGTCCCTCTTCAATACCAAGGGATGACTGTATTTTAATAATGAGAGACTGATCCTAGCTCTGTTATTTGCTAGTAGGAAGGTATTTGGGCTGAGGACTAACTAAAGAAGCTAGAGTTTTTAGTTGGTTTAGTTTAGTTTTGAGATGCTCTGTTGCCCAGGCTGGAGTACAGTGGCACGGTCTCAGCTCACTGCAGCCTCTGCCTCCTGGGTTCAAGTGATTCTCCTGCCTCAGCCTCCTGAGTAGCTAGAACTACAAGTGAACTACCACGCCTGGCTCATTCTTGTATTTTTAGTACAGACAGGTTTCTTTCACTCTGTTGACCAGGCTAGTCCCAAACTCTGGAACTCGTGTGATCTCCTCACCTCTGCCTCCCAAAGTGCTAGATTACAGGTGTGAGCCACCACATCCAGCCAAGTATTTGATAGTTAAACAGTGAAAGTACCTTGTTTTTAGGTGTTGGCTTTGAGAATTAAAAGCTAGAGCTCAAAAGTTTTGTCTTAGTTTGGTTTATTAAATAGGCAAAGGGGTTCAGAGCCTCAAAAATGGAGAGCAGCAGAATTTCACTAAGAGAAAGAAGCACATCTTTTTTTTTTTTTTTTTTAAAGATGGGGTTTCACCCTGATGGCCAGGCTGGTCTTGAACTCCTGGCCTCAGGTGATCCACCCACCTTGCCCTCCCAAAGTGCTAGAATTATAGACGTGAGCCACCGTGCCTGGCCTAGAAGTACATCTTATAAAAGGAATTGACAAAGGTTGTGAAGAGAACTTCAAACAAATACGTAGAAGCAGGCATGTAAAAATTGAGCAGAGGCCGGGCAAAATGGCTGGCTCACGCCTATAATCCTAGGACTTTGGGAGGCCAAGGTGGGTGGATTGCTTGAGGCCAGGAGTTCGAGACCACCCTGGCCAACATGGTGAAACTCTGTCTCTTCTAAAAATATATATATTAGCTGGGTGTGGTGGCACACCTGTAATCCCAGCTACTCAGGAGGCTGAGACAGGAGAATCACTTGAACCCAGGAGGCAGAGGTTCCAATGAACTGAGATTGAACCACTATACTCCAGCCTGGGTGACAGAGCAAGACTCCATCTGAAAAAAAAAAAAAAAAAAAAAATTGAGTCAGATAGCATTGAAACATGCATATGTGAAAAAACTTGAATCGATGCAGAAGTGCACTCAGAACAGGACAAATAACCTAAAGAGGAGTGAATGAAGAGCAGTGAGAGGCCTGAGCGTGGAAAAAAGTGCCCCTCAGGTTGGAAGAGAGAAAGACAAAAATGAGAAAGATAACAAATGGGCATGGAGATTGGGGTAAGAAAAAAGCTCCTTGGAAACAGGAGAGACATGATCATTATCTCAAAGAGGAAGCAAGAGGCATGTTTGAAATCTGAAGCTGAAAACACTCAAAAGACAGATACACAGGATTGACCAGAGAGGCTCAGAGATAAGCATGAGCTAATGACATGTGCAGATAGCACAGCAGGATGAGCAGTGCATGGCGAATGTGAAGTCGAAATACTCAATCATGGTGAAAGAAAAACACAAGCCAGGTACCAGTACAGTAAGGTGAAGCTGGGTGAGACAAGCCAGGAGATGAGGCATACATCTCTGTCATAGCATGACAAGACACAAATAGGTGAGACCTAAGGGAGAAGAAAGAAAACCTCAGGTGGTGCTACAGGCAATTTTATTTACTTACCTTTATTTTTTATTTTTTAGATCTTCTTGCTCTGTTGCCCAGGCTGGAGTGCAGCGGAGTGATTTCAGCTCACTGCAGCATCCACTTCCTGGGTTCAAGCGATTCTCCTGCCTCGGCGTCAACCTCCTAACCAGCACAAACCACCACACCTGGCTGATTTTTGTGTTTTTATTAGAAACAGGGTTTCACCATATTGCCCAGGCTGGTCTCAAACTCCTGACCTCAGGCAATCTGCCCACCTTGACCCGCCAAAGTGCTGGGACTACAGGCTTGAGCCACTGTGCCCGGCTACATGGGCATTTTTAGAAGGCCTGTGAGGGGTAAATGAAGCTGGCTCTGGAGAAGGGATCTCTGGGGGATAGTGAATTACACATCTCAGACAAAGAGGCTAGAGAACTGTGAAGTGAGAGAAAAATGCTGCAGTCTCCCAGACAGCTATAAAAGAAACATACCTGGCCTTGTGTGGGGCCCGTGTGCATCATCCCAGCACTTGGGAGGCCAAGGCCAGAGGATGGCTTGAGCCCAGGAGTTTGAGACAAGCTTCAGGAGACCCCTTCTCTACAAAGAACTTTTTTCTGTTTTCGGTATTTTTTAGTGGACACAGGGTTTCACCATGTTGACCAGGGTGGTCTCCATCTCGACCTCATGATCCTCCCGCCTCAGCCTCCCAAAGTGCTGGGATTACAGGCTTGAGCCACTGGGCCCGGCCATAAAGAACTTTTAAAAAAATTAGCCTGGCATAGGGGAGTGCACCTGTAGTCCCAGCTACTTGGCAGACGGAGGAAGGAAGATCACCTGAGCCCACAAGTTGAGGCTGCATTAAGCCCTGATGGCAGCACTGCACTCCAGCCTGGGCAGCAGAGCCAAGACCCTGTCTGAAAACAAAAAAAAAACACAGGAGAAACAAACACCTAAATTCGATAGCAAATTTTGCAGCATATTTGAAGTCCTAAGCTAGGGTAAATAGATGAAGAGGAAATGACAAGAATTTGTTGGAAAGCAACTTACAGATCATCTTAGGCTTCAGCGTTACTAATTCTTAAAGAAAGCAAACAAGGAAGTAGAATTTGCAGCAGATATAAAGAACTGACAGGACAGAATACTCCACACACTCAGGTAGAAAAAGACAAAACCAGGACCCCATTATTCAGAAGGAAATAGCCACAGCAGGAATGAAATGTACAGATAGTTGCTGACTTCAGTGGTTTGACTAAGGATTTCTTGATTATGATGGTATGAAAGTGATACACATTAAGTAGAAAGTGTATTTCAAGTACCCATACAGCAATTCTGTTTTTCATTTTCACCATAGTATTAATTAAATCTGGCCAGACATGGTGGATCATGCCTGTAATCCCAGCACTTTGGAAGGTTGAGGTGGGTGGATCAAGAGATCAAGGCAATCCTGGCCAACATGGTGAAAACCCCATCTCTACTAAAAATATAAAAATTAAGTGAGCATGGTGGCACATGCCTGTAGTCCCAGCTACTCAGGAGGCTGAGACAGGAGAATTGCTTGAACCTGGGAGGCGGAGGTTGCAGTGAGCTGAGATCACGCTACTATACTACAGCCTGGCAACAGAGCAAGACTCCATCTCAAAACATAGTAATCACATGAGACAACGCTTTTTTGTTTTGTTTTGTTTTTCAAAACGAGCTTTGTATTAGATTTTGCCCAATTGTAGGCTAATGTAAGTGTTCTGAGTGTGTTTAAGGTAGGCTAGGCTAGGCTGTGATACTTAGTAGGTATGTGTTTTAAATATATTTTTGGCCCAACATGGTGGCTTATGCCTATAATCCCAGTACTTTGAGAGGCCGAGGCAGGTGGATCATCTGAGGTCAGGAGTTTGAGGCCAGCCTGACCAAAATAGTGAAACGCACAGTCTCTACCAAAAAGTCAAAAATTAGGCAGGCATGGTGGCAGGCGCCTATAATCTCAGCTACTCAGGAGGCCGAGGCAGGAGAATTGCTTGGAACCCGGGAGGTGGAGGTTGCAGTGAGCCAAGATCGTACCATTGCACTCCAGCCTGGGCCAACAACAGCAATATATATATGTAATTTTCTTTTTCTTGAGATAGTCTCACTCTGTTGCCCAGGAGTGCAGTGGCACAATATCAGCTCCCTACAACCTCCGCCCAGCTAAGTTTTGTACTTTTAGTAGAAGCAGGGTTTCACCATGTTGGCCAGGCTGGTCTCTAACTGGCTTCATGTGATCCACCTGCCTTGGCCTCCAGAGTGCTGGGATTACAGGCGTGAACCATTACACCCAGCCTTAACATATTTTCAATAGGTGATGGGTCATTTTAAAAAGGATACTGAAGTTAATATAATACTGAAGTGGTCTAAAGAAACAGGAAAGTATGGACATGGTACCAAAATATGAAAACTATCCTTTTCATGTACTGTTGGGGACTGACTCATACTTGTATTCTTTGCTTTTTTTGCTTTTCTTTGAGATGGAGTATCGCTTTTGTTGCCCAGGCTGGAGTGCAGTGGTGCGATCTCGGCTCAGCGCAACCTCCACCTCCCAGGCAAATGATTCTCCTTCCTCAGCCTTCCAAGTAGCTGAGATTACAGGCATGCACCACCATACAAAAATTTTGTATTTTTACTGGAGATGGAGTTTCTCCATGTTGGCCAGGCTGGTCTTGAACTCCCGACCTCAGGTGATCCGCCCACCTTGGCCTCCCACAGTGCTGGGATTACAGGCGTGAGCCACCGCTCCAGGCCTACTTGTATTCTTTATATTGCTAGTTTAGATAGCTGTTTAAAAGGTCACATTAATGTTTTTTGCAATGATATATTTTATTTAGCCAAGAGTAAGGTAGAGCAGAACAGCCCAAGGGAATTGAGGATGGTAAGTAACTGAGATTAGAAAACAGCTCCCAAAAGAAAGGCAGGTTGTCAGGTGCATATAACTTACAACTCAATGGGTGAAGAGCTGCAGTTCTCAAACTTTTGCTTAATACCTTGCCTTAATTTTTTATCCCACAAATAGATATTTTCCCTTTCAGTTTTGATTATGTATCGATCACAGCTAACATTAAGGTAAGTAAACTTTGTTTCTTTTAGATAATGTTAATTCAGGACACAGGAGAAGCTTCAGTGCAGATGGATTTGAGATGCTACAGAACCCTGTAAAAGATTCAAAAGCAGTGTTTGAAACCTACAAACAGATGCACCTGGAGAAGAGAAGCAGAAGCCTTGGTAGCAGTCCTGTAAAATAATTGTAAGATGTGGTTTTGTAGTTGCCACTGGGAAATTTCTTTCCTTTTCAGTTCAGAATATTTTGCTGTAACTAATCAGAAATGCCATGGTAAAGTTTGGTTCCCACTTTCATTGTTTTGCATTGAAAGTGCTTAATGAAAACAGCTTGAGAACTTTGGGTAGGCATATGTAAAAAATGGATGTTATTCATTGGGGAAACCGTAAGATATTTGAATGTCTATTGAACCAGGTTTACCATTATTTAAAAAGGTGTGCTTATACAAATAGATTGGAAATCCTATCCGTCCTGAGGGAGGATTGTTCCTCAGTTAAGGACTTGTTTATTTAAATGGGACTGTAAATATGTTTTGGTTTCTAAGCTGTATTAGCAAAACTTATTTTTCAGAAATGCCCACTGTGATGTGAATGTAAAAGTATATTCTTAAGTATTTTATAACGAATCGTCACCTTTTTTTTTTCCAGAAGTCTTATTTTATACTTGTGAAACTAACATGATTTTTGGACAATGTTTAAACATTTACTTTTCATACTTGAAATAAACATTTATTTTTTAAAAAACTAATTTGCAATCTTCACGGCTCAGTTTCTTGTTGTTTTCCTTCCTTTAAGGACCCATTTTGGAAAGTGCTTTCAAAAGCTGAAATGTCACAGCTCATTAGCTGTGACAGTAGGTGTTTTAGATTGCGTTCAGATGAGAACACAAAAATTTACGAGGTTCAGGAAATTGCAAGAAAGTGTGGAAGTCAAGATACAACAATTTCTAGTTTTACTTTATGACTGCTAGAAAAGGGTCAGTTTTTGTTCTCAGACAGGGTCTCACTCTTTTCTAGGCTGGAGTAGTACTGTGTTATGATCATGGATCACTAATCACTGCTCCTAGCTGTGGGTTTAAACAGTCCTCCTAGCTCTGCCTCCTAAGTAGCTGGGACTACAGTGTGCTACTATACCTGGCTAATTAAAAATGTGTGATTGAATTGGCTAATCTTTATATTGTTCCAATTTTAGTATGTGTGCTGCCAACGTGAGCACATAATTAAAATATATATATATATTGGAGACATGAGATTTCACCACGTTGTCCAGAATGGTCTTGAACTCCTGGGCTCAAGCAATACTTTAGCCTCGACCTCCCAAAGTACTGGGATTACAGATGTGAGCTACCACGCCCGTTATTTTATAAAATCTTAATGCTGGCCAGATGCAGTGGCTACCACTTTGAGAGGCCAAGGCGGGTGGATCATGAGGTCGGAAGATCAAAACCATCCTGGCCAACATAGTGAAACCCCATCTCTACTAAAAATACAAAAATTATCTAGGCATGGTAGCACATGCCTGTAATCCCAGCTACTTGGGAGGCTGAGGCAGGAGAGTTGCTTGAACTAGGGAGTCAGGTTGCAATGAGCCTAGAACGCGCTGCTGCACTCCAGCCTTGCAATAGAGCAAGATTCCGTCTCAAAAAAATCTTGCTATGTCTATAATTTTCATTTATAAACTACGAGGTAGACCAATGGATTTTAATATAACTGCAATTTCTTGTGCTTTTAGCTTTCATATTACAACCAACCTTTAGGAAACAACTACAGTCATGCATTATTTAATGACAGCGATAGGTTCTGAGAAATGCATCTCTAGGTGATCTTGGTTCATTTGTTGAGTTGGAGTCTCACTCTTTTGCCCAGGCTGTAGTGCAGTAGCACGATCTCCATCCACTGCAGGCTCTACCTCTTGGGCTCAAGCAATTCTGCTTCAGCCTCCCAGGGAGCTGGGATTACAGGCACGTAGCATCACGCCTTGCTAATTTTTGTATTTTTAGTAGGTTTACCATGTTAGGCTGGGCTCGAACTCCTGGCCTCAGGTAATCCGCCCTTCTCCGCCTGCCAAAGTGCTAGGATTGCAAGGTGTGAGCCACCGCACCTGGCCTACTTCATTTTTTAGATAGTAAAAAATTACAAGTATTATGCCTAAATAAGATCGGTTCACCTCAGGTGATCTCTGCCTGCCTCAGCTTCCTAAAGTACTGGGATTACAGGTGTGAGCCACTGTGCCTGGCCAGTTTTGTTCTTGTGTGACTATCCTAGAATGTACTAGGTTTGTGTAAACCTAGTTGAATATCCTAAATCTAAAATCCAGGGCTGGGCATGGTGGCTAACACCCATAAGCCCAGCACTTTGGGAGACCAAGGCAGCCAGATCACCTGAGGTCAGGAGTTCAAGACAGCCTGACCAATATGGTGAAACCCCTTCTAAAAATACAAAATTAGCTGGGTGTGGTGGCAGGTACCTGTAATCCCAGCTCTTGGGAGGCTGATGCAGTAGAATTGCTTGAACCCAGGAGGCAGAGGTTGCAGTGAGCCGAGATCATGCCTTTGCACTTCAGCCTGGGCAACGAGCAAAACTCTGTCTCAAAAAAAACCCCAAAGTGTTCCAAAGTCTGAAACTTTCTGAATGCCAATGTGACACTCAAAGAAAGTGCTTGTTTGGGCATTTTGGATTTTGCATCTTGGTATTAGGCATGCCAGTATAATGCAAAGATTCCAAGATCCAAAAATATATGAAATGTTTTCAATCCCAAGCATCTATTTTTTTTTGAGACGGAGTTAGTTTTGCTGTTGTTAACCCAGACTGGAGTGCAATGACACGATCTCGGCTCACCGCAACCTCCGCCTTCTGGGTTCAAGCAATTCTGCCTCAGCCTCCCGAGTAGCTGGGACTACAGGCGCACACCACCACGCGCAGCTAATTTTTGTATTTTTAGTAGAGACAGGGTTTCACCTTGTTGACCAGGATGGTCTCGATCTCTTGACCTCATGATCCATGTGCCTCGGCCTCCTAAAGTGCTCGGATTATAGGCATGAGCCACCGCTAATAAGGTGTAGATAACTTAGATGTCCTACTGCATGCCTAATCTGTATGGTATACATTATTACAGGCCACAAATGTGGACATCATGTTGCTGTACTGAATGCTATAAATGCAGTATAAAAAATAGATAGTGCCAGGCACAGTGGCTCACGCCTGTAATGCCAGCACTTTGGGAAGCCAAGTTTGGGTGGATCACCTGAAATCAGGAGTTTGAGACCAGCCTGGCCAACATGGTGAAACCTGGGCTCTACTAAAAATAGAAAAATTAGCTGGGTCTGGTGGTGCATACTTGTAATCCTAGCTACTTGGGAGGCAGAGGTTGCAGTGAGTCATTGCACCTCTGCACTCTAGTCTGGGCAACAAGAACAAAACTATGAATGAATGAATGAATGATGTACCTGCTTTGGGCACTTGAACGTGAACCACAAATGCAACTTGCAGGATGAAGTTTTTGCAAGTCAGTGAATTGCTCTGAGTAAGTGAATGTGAAGGCCCAGGTCATTACTGTATATTACTGTCGACTTCATGAACACTGTACACTTAGGTTGCACTAAATTTATTTTTATTCTGAAATGAAGTCTCACTCTGTCACCCAGGTTAGAATACAGTGCTACAAAAAAAAAAAGAAAAAAGGCTGGGCGCTGTGGCTCACGCCTGTAATCCTAGCACTTTGGGAGGCCGAGGTGGGTGGATCACCTGAGGTCACGAGTTCAAGACCAGCCTGGCCATTATGATGAAACCCCATCCTTAAAATAAATGAAAAAAAAGAATACAGTGCTGCAATCTCAGCTCACTGAAACCTCCACCTCCCATTTTCAAGCTATCCTCCTATACCTCAGCCTCCCAAGTAGCTGGGACCACAGGCACAAGGCAGTGTGCCTGTAACTCAACTTATTCTTTAAAACTTTAATACATCTTAGCTTATGGTAACTATATGAACTTTTTAAATATTTAACTTAATTTTTAATTTTATTATTCATTTCGAGACAGGGTTATGCGACTTTTTAACTCGTAATAACATAGCTTAAAACACAAGCATGTCGTAGAACTGTACAAAGTTTTTTTTGTTTTGTTTTGAGACCGAGTCTTGCTCTGTCACCCAGGCTGGAGTGCACTGGTGTTATCTTGGCTCACTGCAACCTCTGCCTCCTGGGTTCAAAGAATTCTCCTGTCTCAGCCTCCTGAGTACCTGGGATTACAGGCACCTGCCACCATGCCCACTTATTTTTGTATTCTTAGTAGAGGCAAGGTTTCACCATGTTGGCCAGCCTGGCCTCAGACTCTCAACCTCAGGTGGTCCACCCACCTCAGCCTCCAAAGTGCTGGGATTACAGGTGTGAGCCACCGTTCTCAGCCTGTACAAAATTTTCCTAAAGGCCCACGAAAGCAGACAGGTCATTTCCCACGCATGTTCTGCTAGGCATTTAATGTTAGCTTTTCCCTGTCTGCACTATGCCTGTTTGTAGAGATATACATGTGAATGAACCTCAGCCTCCAGAGTAGCTGAGACAACAGGCACCCACCACCAGGCCCAGCACCTGGTTATCCTGTATTCCGATCATAAATCTTTCAACCTCTAGGACATGGACCAATAATATTTAGTATACTTGGCTATAGCTACTTTAAGCTTAGATATTTGCCTTTGAATATTTTACTTTTTTTTTTTTTAATAAAATATAAATGTCAGCCTGGCGTGGTGGCTCATGCCTATAATCCCAGCACTTTGGGAGGCCGAAGCAGGTGGATCATGAGGTCAAGAGATTGAGACCATCCTGGTTAACATGGTGAAACCCCGTCTCTACTAAAAATAGAAAAACTAGCTGGGTGTGGTCGCATGCACCTGTAGTCCCAGCTACTCAGGAGGCTGAGGCAGGAGAATTGCTTGAACCCAGGAGGTGGAGCTTGCAGTGAGCCGAGATCGCGCCACTGTACTCCAGCCTGGTGCCTGGCGACAGAGTGAGACTCTGTCTCAAAAGAAAAGAAAATTATATATATATGTCTGGTGATTCTTTTGTAGTTGTTGGTTTTATGTTTTGGTGACAGGTTCTTGCTCTGCCACCCAGACTCAAGTGCAACTGTATGGTCACAGCTCACTGCAGCCTTGACCTGGGCTCAAGTGATCCTCCCACTTCAGCCCCTCGAGTAGCTGGGACCGCAAGCGTGCACCACCACCTTTGGATAATTTTTTATTTTTTGGAGCAATGAGGTCTTCCTGTGTTGCCCAGTCTGGTCTCTAACTCTTGGGCTCAAGCAGTCCTCCCACGTCAGTGTCCCAAAGTGCTAGATTACAGGCCTGAGCCACCGTGCCTCTCCATATCTGGCTTTCTGTTATAATAGAGTGTATTTTGTCATTTTGATACCCCATACAACATTGGTCCATTTCTTCAATGATGATATGCCAATTGGACCTGATAAGCAGAAAATAATAAACATTCTACAAGACTTAATAAAACACATGCATGACAGAGGATGGGAAGGAAATCTTGAATAATTCATGACCACGTCCATGAAGTTTTTATGGTCTGATTGTAGTCTTGTGTATCTTGTACGATCTACCACAAAGTAAGAGGTATGTTTGATGGAGCTTTGTGAAGTTTGAAGGTAATATGCACCATCTATGGACATGCCACCCTAAGCAGTTGATCAGGTAATTCACACAACTCTAATTTTATGTGAGGCCTCAAGCAAGCAAAGGCTTCGC